GTGCAGATTTCGTGGCAGGTGCAGCACTTTGTGAACCTCCATGTGCAGATTTCGTGGCAGGCACAGCACTTTGTGAACCTCCATGTGCAGATTTCCTGGCAGGCACAGCACTTTGGGAACCTCCATGTGCAGATTTCGTGGCAGGTGCAGCACTTTGTGAACCTCCATGTGCAGATTTCGTGGCAGGCACAGCACTTTGTGCACCTCCATGTGCAGATTTCGTGGCAGGCGCAATACAAAATGCGTTGTGGAGAGATAGCGAACGCACGAAATGCTGTATTTTTCAATGGAACAGATGGCTCCGAAGCTGGCAAGTCAAGGTTTGCGGAACGACGGGTGCGAGACGGTCTCGGGTCATGCTCGGATCATGGTCGGAATCGTCCGTCCATTGGGATTAGAGTTTTCACTTGTTTCTTGAAGTGCAGATTTCGTGGCAGGTGCAGCACTTTGTGAACCTCCATGTGCAGATTTCGTGGCAGGTGCAGCACTTTGTGTACCTCCATGTGCAGATTTCCTGGCAGGCACAGCACTTTGTGAACCTCCATGTGCAGATTTCGTGGCAGGTGCAGCACTTTGTGAACCTCCATGTGCAGATTTCGCGGCAGGTGCAGCACTTTGTGAACCTCCATGTGCAGATGTCGTGGCAGGTGCAGCACTTCGTGAACCTCCATGTGCAGATTTCGTGGCAGGCACAGCACTTTGTGCACCTCCATGTGCAGATTTCGTCGTAGGTGCAGCACTTTGTGAACCTCCATGTGCAGATTTCGTGGCAGGCGCAGCACTTTGTGAACCTCCATGTGCAGATTTCGTCGCAGGTGCAGCACTTTGTGAACCTCCATGTGCAGATTTCGTGGCAGGTGCAGCACTATGTGAACCTCCAGGTGCAGATTTCGTGGCAGGCACAGCACTTTGTGAACCTCCATGTGCAGATTTCGTGGCAGGCACAGCACTTTGTGTGAACCTCCATGTGCAGATTTCGTGGCAGGCACAGCATCTGGGGAGCTGGAAGCTGAGAACTGGCGACTTTGTAGTACAACTTTAGTACGCGGAGTATCTGGCGAGCTGGACGATGAGAACTGGTGACTTTGTAGTACAACTTCAGTACGCGGAGCAATCTGTGCAGCTAGAAGCTGAGAACTGGCGACTTCGTAGTACAACTTTAGTACACGGAGTATCTGGCGAGCTGGACGAGGAGAACTGGCGACTTTGTAGTACAACTTTACTACCGAGCTGGATGGTGAGAACTGGCGACTTTCTAGTACAACTTTAGTACGCGGAGCAATCTGTAGAGCTGGAAGCTGAGAACTGGCGACTTTGTAGTACAACTTTAGCCCGCGGAGTATCTGGCAAGCTGGACGATGAGAACTGGCGACTTTGTAGTACAACTTCAGCACGCGGAGCAATCTGTGCAGCTAGAAGCTGAGGACTGGCGACTTCGTAGTACAACTAGAGTTGTACTGGCGAACAGTGTAGTACGCGGAGGAGTCATCTCTCGCTGCTCATTCATCTCTCGCTGCTGAGTCAGCTCTTGCTATAGCCATCTCTCGCGGCTGAGTCATCTCTCGCGACTGAGTCATCTCTCGCTGCTGGGTCATCTCTCGCGGCGTGGACGTTCAGTTCATACTGATAGTATTTGGTTGCAGTTATGCAGGACAGGACATTCAACTGCTGGTCAAGACACCACTCATCATACACCACTCAACATACACCACTCATCATTCATCACTTGTCATACACCCCTCATCATACAAGACTCATCATACATAGTCTCAGAGTTCAAGACAGATTTTACATTCAAATTCGGATTCCATTCAGTCCGATGTGTGATATGCAAGGTTTGCCGCCACTGAAGAATGCCACGGTGGGATGTGTGTCGATGTGGACCGCATCCTTGGCAAGTCGTGGTGGCCGGATGTGTGTCATCTCTCGCAGGGGGCACACACACCTTACACACGTGGAATCCCGTGGGTCAAAAGTCCGGAGCGCGTGCGTTTGACTGGAGGACGCGCATGTTGGAGAGAACGTGGACACTCCTATAGGTCAATTTCTTCTTATAGGAAACTTCCGCCGCCGGCTTGCCCGGGAACTACTTGTAGAGGTCGTCTATAGTCGATGATGTCCGTCGCACAGTTCGCGAAAGTTCACTCATTGCTCTTGCCTCTGACAAGTAAAACGATTCCTTTGATACAAGGCAAGAAGCGAGAGTCAAAAGGACTCGTTGGAGACACCCTCACCCTGGCTGTTGGGGTCTGTGGCAACTTGGAGTGCGGCTCTCAATTCATGCAGAATAACTTGCCAAATTCAAACTGTCGGGAATTCTGGCCAACTCCGAAACCACCACCGCTGTGGCTGCTGTCCGCAGCGCAAAATCAATGCATCATGAAGGCCATGTTTGAAATCATGTCGATTCCTAGTCGTTGCATTTTGGACATTGACCAAATAACTATGGTCTCTTCAAGAATCTTCAATAAAGCATAAATTGAGATCCTGGCAACCTGCCTGACGGCACATATTTTTTCATCCGGCTTGATTTTCCTCATTCATTGAACTAAAAGCTCCAACCATGCATTCTGCCCAAAAGCCTCTTGCAAACTTGAACTCGGGCAAGGAGGTGCCCAACTTGGGGAAGCTTGTGTTGGTGATGAATGGCATGGACGTCCCTTTCCTGCTTGCCAGGATCTTCTCCACTACCTTCGCTTTGGTAGCAGAAAATATATTGATCTACATGTATGTAGTATATACTGCACATAGCACATATATCTGTATTGATTATATGTTCAATTATATTTGTATAAGTTTAACAACCAAAGTAGCTAATGAAATATGATTACTAATCTACATGTATTTTACTGCCTCGTCTAGCAGTAATATGAATATTATTCATATGACTTCTATTGACTTCTCTATTGACTTATCTATTCATCAAAAAACTCAAGTTCCGGCCTAGAACCCGAGTCAAGTGGCTACGAGATTGTGAGACTGAGTCACCAACCTTCACTCGTTTCTTCTCCTCCACCACACTGGCCAGTCGCCGCAGTCCACCCTCCCTCGCAGCAGCTTTCCGGGCAGTGCGCCCAGCACACCGGCGCCCGGTTTGCGCGCGGGAACTGGCGGCCGCAAGAGTGCCAAGCGCAGTGCTAGCAACCTAGGCGGCTGCCAAACTGAAGCTAAAGCAAGTACATCACAAAAAGCCCAAAGGCATGAGTGGACCATCAGTACAAGTAAGTACATATAGATAGATAGATAGATAGATTGATTGATTGATAGATTGATAGGTAGGTAGGTAGGTAGATAGGTAGATAGGTAGATAGATGGATAGATGGATAGTCGTTCCTGTTCCCATAGATTATTGGTGTTCATCTCCAACAAAACTTAATGAACAGCAGGGTGAACACACGAAAATCCTTCAGGGTGAACTAGGTGCTCGTGGCAGAAGGTATGCTGATGTATGCTGGATCAACACGGGTTACAAAGATCAAGGTGTATAGGATGTAGGTATCTTGAGATTGAACAACTGGGTACCAGTACCCTAGTCCTTCAAACACCACCTTGGATTGCGTGTCTAGGCCATTTCTGCCATTCAAGAAACATCATGTTAACTCTTCTTGAAGTGGAACAAACATGTTCTACATTCTCACTGTATCTGATCTTTCTTTGGACAAACTCTCATCAGGATCATTGAGGTCGGAACGACCTTCTCCAAACTGAATCCAAGGGGCCACCGTTGCCACAGCTCCCGCTGTATCGTCCGTCTTCGATGAAGCCGTGGACGAAGAGCTCCGTGCCGCCGTGGTGTGGCGAGACTGGGGAGCGAGGAAGGCAGCACCGCCCAGAAGAAGACCTGCGGTGGTTGCTTCAGACACTCCATGGTGCAACTGGCATATATACCTATACACATTGGGGTGGTTGGCAACGGTGGTTGGCAAGGCGTCAATTGATCGGCTATGCCAGACATGGAGTGAGCATGGGTCCGGTGGTTGCCTTCAGATCAGGATGGCTTTTTCGGAGAGGCGGATGGCTTCGGTTCGCGGTCTGGTTCGCGAGAATGGCGTCACGATAGGGGGAACCCCCTGGCGACGAGATGTGGCGAAAGAGTGGTATCAGGGTTGGTAGACCGTTAACGCCTGTGGTAAGCATGCAGTGCCCCAGGGCTCCTGATGGCTCCTGGCCTACCTCGTGAGAAGATGGTTGGGCTGGGTTTGGAGGGCCTAACCACCTTCTGAGGATATGGTTGGAGCCCAAACGGGGTAAGTCTTGAAGTGATGCTTCGATCTAATATGATTTAATGATATCTGGTACAGGGACAGCATGTTGTGGCAAAAAACATATTCCGCCATGGCTTGACCACGGCTGGAAGGCAGCGAAAGGGTGATCATCTTGTGGGATCTTGGCACAAAGGTTGTCAAGGAAGGTCTTGACTTGGCCAAACTTGGAAGGCTTGATGTTATCCCGAAATAAAGGAACCGGTCCGACAAGTGTCAACAATAGTAGGGATATTAGGGCAGCAATCGTAATCCACATAGAAACACGGGGGAACAGGGAACAGTGAACAGTGCATGCGTCAAGCAAAAGCCAACCAACAAGCTCAGTTCAGGAATGCTGCTTCTTTGTCGAGTTCATTTCCGGAGTGATGTCATCAGGTGTAGTGCTTTTCTACTGGGTCAAACGGTGGCATCCTGTTCCACTGGATTCCATAGAAATATAGGCATCCTGGATACACGATGATACACGTCTTGATACCACCTCAAGCATCACAAATTGACCCCAACGAAGCATCCCCTGCCTGCCGTGCAGGTTCTGCGCGTCATCTTACTCACCACAGGCATTGCGAGATAACGCGAGTTGCCAGCAAAATGAAACACTTCCCGCAGTGTGGCGAGCGTGGTGTGTTTGGGGTCAAGAAAAAATCCTGCGGTTTTTGGAGCGGCAATGACTGAGCAGCATCAAGGGTTGCAGATCGGAATCCCAGGCAGCTGGAGCTGATGGTGGGAACTTGGCATGCACAAACATGTGTGAGGTTGAGGAGGTGGAGGAGCCTCAAGTAGGTCGAACAAAAATATACCAAAAAACAACATATACAACACCTGCTTCATTCGATAGCGGCCCTGATTGCCTTATAATGATACTGATTGCCTGGTCGACATGTCCTGCCCCCCGCCAAAAACATAGTTTAAGATGTTTAAGAGAACATCTCACAAGACTCACTGAAATACCAAAAAACAAACATCAACAAAATACCGCAAGTCGACCTGCGGTATTTTTCGACCTGCCGTCCAGCGACCGTCTGATTGGCCGAACATGCCCAGTCCCAGGGTTGGTCCAAAAGCATGGCACCCTATAGAAGGGCTGAGCATCCGCGAAACGATGAGCAGCCCCCCCAGCCTATATATATCCACCAGGGCGCCCGCTGCCGACAAAAATTCTATTTGCAAAAAACTATCTAAGTCATATATTGACCACCCTGAATGCTGCAAACTTCAGCCTAGATACATTCTCAAAAATTGATAAAGCATTTCATCATGTTCCCCTGTAGTGGCTCAGACCTCTTTGATGGTCGAAGAAACATCGACTCAGGTCTAGTTCCAGGGTGTTTTCACACCCCTCCAAGGAGTCGATCCTGACAAAAATGGATCCAGTGAAACTGTTGAAATATGTGTGATCTTGACCCAAACTCAGCTCTTCATTCTCATTCACCTTTCTTCCACCTTCTTTCGCACCCCCCTCCACCCCCCCCTCCACCCGAACCAAAAACATCGACCCAGTGTGAGTCCGGATCCGGATCGACCCTGGTCCAAACCGGTCCCTCAAGGGTTCTGTGGTCTCCGGACCCAACACACTTAGTGTCGCAATCACCTGCCGCACGCGAACGCACGCGAGCGCGAACGCGTTGGTCGGGTGCTCGGAGCGCCCGGTGGCGTGCGGAGCGCCCGAAACGAGGCGCAACGAGAGGGGGGCGCGAGTGGGCGCGGCCGGTGAGAGGCCGATGGTTTTTTATCGTAAACATATTTTTAAAACAAGATGGAGCCCACGAACCCGAATGCAAACACATATGTCAATCCACTGTGTATAGAAAGAGACACAGCCGGTTAGATTATCTTTTTCACACTCCGGTACGCTGTTGGACATCATGCGCTGAGGACTCCACCACCAAGGCAGCATGTGCTGGGGACTTCACCACCAAGCTCCGTCTTCGTCATGAAGGGTCTTCGTTTTGCATTCAAATCAAGCACTGGCGTAAAGGTTCTGGCAGATCCACATCACGAAGGAAACAATGGCATTGTCCCAAAATCTCGAAAAGAAGCACTTGAAAATGATAACCGTCCACATAATACAGAGAAATCCACAACTGCGGCTGTGGGACACTCTTAAGGGACACTCTTGTGAGACACTCTTGTGGGACACTGTTGCGGGACACTCTTGTGGGACACTCTTACGTGACACTCTTGTGGGACACTCTTGTGGGATACTCTTGTAGGACACTCTTGTGGGACACTCTTGTGGGACACTCTTGTGGGACACTCTTACGGGACACTCTTGTAGGAAACTGTGGGGCACTCTTGTAGGACACTCTTGTGAGACACTCTTATAGGACACTCTTGTGGGACACTCTTAAGGGACACTCTTGTGAGACACTCTTGTGGGACACTGTTGCGGAACACTCTTGTGGGACACTCGTGTGGGACACTCTTGTGGGACACTCATACGGGACACTCTTGTGGGACACTCTTGTAGGACACTCTGGTGGGACACTCTGGTGGGACACTCTTGCGGGACACTCTTGTAGGAAACTCTTGTGGGACACTCTTGTGGGACACTCTT